ATGACTCCAGGACTCCTCGGACCCTCCCACCTCCCACCGCATCCTCCCCTTTCCCACTTTCCACTGATTGAGTCCTTTACTTGGTACTTCCTTCTAAGCTTAGATGTTTTTCTTGATGTATTTAGGTGTGGTTTTCTTTTATTTGTCCTGCTTTGGTTATTTGGGCTTCTCGAATCTGTGAATTGGTATATTTCATTAGTTCTGGAACTTGCTCAGCCTTTATCTCAAATGCTTCCTCCACAATATTTTTCCCTCTTCTGGAACTTCAATTCAATATAAAATCTCACTATATCCTTTCTTTCTCTTTTGCATTTTCCCTCATTTCACTCTGCTGCCTTCTGAATAACTTATTTTTGTCTATATTCCAGTTTACTTATTCACTCTACTCTACATTTCTGTCTGAACTACTTTTAAAGCTAAGTTTTTAATTTTAGCAATTTTGTTTTCCAGTTCTAGAAGTTCTATTTGGGGAATGCCTGGGTGGCTCTATCAATTAAGCATCTGCCCTTGGCTCAGGTCATGATTCTGGGGTCCTGGGATCAAGCCCCGTATCCGGCTCCCTGTGCAGCAGAGAGCCTGCTTCTCCTCCTCCTGCTGTTCCCCTTGCTTGTGCTCATTCTCTCTCTCTCTGTCAAATAAATAAATAAGTGGAATCTTTAAAAAAAAATTAAAAGTCATTTGTTCCTTTTCAGTTTTGCCTACCCTTAAAATTTCCTCTTCGTTGCAATCTTTTTGGGCTTGTCTTTTATTTCTTTAAACAGGATAAGCATAATTTTATAGTATGAGTCCATTAATTCTAGCATCTGAATTCTTTGGGGGTATCAGTCTTTGTCCAGTAGGAAAATAGAAACCATTTAGATGTTTAAAGCAGAGAAAGATGTAGTGAAGTATTAGTTTGCAAAGGTGCTAGAAGGGTTGGGCGCGTTGGGGGAGGACTTGTTACCTGGTTGCTCCTGGGCTAGCTGCTGAAGGGATGACTGCCCGGAAACTTCCTGTGGCACAGTCTGTGCAGTTTCCTGCCTCTCTGTCTTTTCCCACTACCTTTTAATTTCCCACCAGTGCTTCCCTTGTACAACTTAGCAAGACTCCAGCTGGCAAGAAGTCTTATATATGTAGTTTCAGACCTCGAACCCTCTGCAACAGAGGCGGAAGAGAGCTGAATACCAACAGACAGATCTGGAACTGGGTGTAGGCCATCTGTTGTTTTTGCTGTTGGTTCTTGCTCCCAGAATCTTGTTTGTCTTTGTGTGCCTGGTTATTTTTGGGTACTGGCATTTCAGAATTACTTGTAATAATTTGAAGCCTTGAGAAACTATTCCTTTGGTTGTCAGATCCCTGGGAGCTCTACCTGTTGGGGATATGGGATTATAAAAACAACTGAATACTAGAACTTTCTTCAGGTTCACCCTAGAAGAAATGATGATCTTAAATTACCTAGGCACTTGTTTTTTTCCTTTTAGTAATAATTGGTTATTAGTGTTGTAGTTGGTTCATTGGTTCAGGAGGTACTGGAGACCCTTCTTTGTGCTAAATGCTGGGGTGAGTCAGTGAAGTGAAACAACTTTGGGGAGATCGTTATGTATTTATGGGTGATAGAGACTTAAGTCCTTTGTACTGTGTGAAGGTGATGAGCTTTTTGTGGGTAGATCGAGCAGGACGGGGAAGTTGGGAACATGGATGCAAGGACTGCAGCTGTCTGGCTGTCACTGTGAAGGTGACATTTAAAGGGAGTGCACTAGAGGGACATCAGAAGAGTAGAGCCAAACCCAAAGCCAGTGACAGGGTGGGAAAAAGGCAGGGTGGGGGGCAGGGAAGTGAGGGCAAGTAAAGGAGGGAAGAACAAAGTGAGTGGGGCCTTGAAGGGACCCTAGTTGAAAGACTCTAGCTGAGGGAGAGAGTTCAAAGGAATGAAATGATCTGGCTTATGTTTGACGAGGAACACTGACTGCTGTGTTGACAGGAATGCATTTTCTAATGAAGTTAAAAATTAATTGGGATTTCAAAGGAAAATGATCTTTTTTTTTAAGATTTTATTTTCAAGTAATCTCTACACCCCACCCAACTTGGGGCTCAAACTTACAACCTGGAGATCAAGAGTTGCATGCCCTACTGACTGAGCCAGCCAGGCGCCTCTTTTTCTTGTCCTTTAAATACTTACATATATAGGACATAAGAATATATATATATTTTCATCTCCTGTAGAACCATTTTGACTGTTATAGTTGTTTTTCATGAAGAGAGTTGTTCTCAAGTCTTAAAGTACCACTTTTAAGTCACCTGAAACGTTTGTATATCTACCACAAGGTTTTATATCTGTGCCACTTAGGTGACCCCTAGGTTGTGCTGAGAAGAGGCATAGAGGAGGATTGGTGACCATCGCTGACTGTGTGTTTCTCAGTTATACTTGTATGCTTAGAAGCATTTTGACAGTTTTCAGGGATAAAGAGGAGGACTGGTGGGTAATAAGTCTCTGAATAATCAGTCTGGTGCTTTAACAGAGTATATGCAGGGAGGGGGGAATGCAATGCAGGTTTTTTCTCCCATCTCATTTATTTCAACATTTTGTTTTAAGTTGAATTTAATTAAAATGGACTAGCCAAATATCTTACTTAATGGCCTGTAGAGATAAAAAAGGAAAGTAAGCAATTCAGACAAACCCTTGCTATTGGCGTTGATGTAGTAGTTATTCATTTGGTTATATTTTTTAAAAGATTTATTTATTTTAGAGCAAGTGGGAAAGCATAGGGCAGGGGGAGGGGCGGAGGGAAAGAGAGAATCTGGAGCAGACTCCTTGCTGAGTAGGGCTCGATCTCACAACCCTGAGATCATGATCTGAGCTGAAATCAAGAGTCCATACCTTAACCAGCTGAGCCATCCAAGTACCCCTCATTTGGATATTTTATTATTTTACTTTTTGTTGAGGAATGAACATGGAAACATTAGCAAGATACAGAGGTACAAGTCAGTGATTTATCTCAAAAACAAATACCTATAACTCATACATTAATCATGGGAATGTAAAAATGGTGCAGCTGCTTTGGAAAGCCGTTTGGCATTTCCTCAAAAAGTTAAACAGTAACTATATAACCTAGCAGTTCTACTCCTGGGTTTATATCCAGGGGAATTAAACATATGTCTCCATGAAAAACAAGCAGCTGTTCATAGCAGCATTATTCATAATAGCTAAAAAACAGAAACAACCCAGATGTCCCAGAATGGATAAACACAGTGTGGTCTGTCCATACATAAGGGAATATCATTCACCCCCAAAAAGGAATGATGAAGTACTGATATATGCTACAACAGGGGTGGACCGTGAAAACATATTAAGTAAAAGAAGACCATATGATTCTATTTGTATTAAATGTTTAGAATAGGCAAATGCATAGAGACAAAATAGATCACTGCCAAGACCAGGGGTAGGGTAGGGGGATAGGGCTGGGGAATGATTGCTAATGGGTGTGAGATTTTTTTTTGAGGTGATGAAAATGTTCTGGAATTAGATAGCTGTGGTAACGCACAACTCTATTAATTTACCAGAACCCATCAAATTACACACTTTAAAAGGGTGAATTTTTATGGAATATAAGTTATATTCACAGCTGTTTTTATAGCAAAACAAAATAAACACATCCATGTGTGTTTGGGTTAACAGAGAATATAGACAGTGCCCCAGAAGCCCCCCTCCCTCCCTTCCAATCAATGCCACAAATTATTCTTGAGGGAAAAAATAGCAGCTGTTTCTACTGCTGCTGTTCCCTCGCAGAAGAAGCCATTGTTTTAGACTAAGCATGAAGCTTTATGCCCTCAGTGTTTGCCAGGCCTTGCAGGGTGCTTTTTGTAAAGTACCATTTTAATCAAATGCTTCTTTGTGATTTTATAGTACCCGTGTGACCTACCTTTCAAAACAGGTAGCTTTGCACTCTTGACTTGCTGTCTTTTTAAGACTCTTTTTTTAGGTTTATTTATTTCAGAGACAGAGAGCGAGCATGAGAGGGGGGAGGGTCAGAGGAAGAAGCAGACTCTTAGGGGCTCAATCCCAGGACCCTGGAATCATGACCTGAGCCAAAGGCAGATGCCTAACGGACTGAGCCACCCCGGGGTCCTACTTGCTCTTGTTTTAATAGAAATAATATGGAGTTTAAAGTTTTTGAAGAATTTTTTGAAGTAGCATGTATATTATTAGATCTCTTTTTTTTTTTTTTAAAGATTTTATTTTATTTATTTGACAGACAGAGATCACAGGTAGGTGGAGAGGCAGCCAGAGAGAGAGGAAGGGAAGCAGGCTCCCCGCTGAGCAGAGAGCCCGATGTGGGGCTCGATCCCAGGACCCTGGGATCATGACCTGAGCCGAAGGCAGAGGCTTTAACCCACTGAGCCACCCAGGCACCCCTATTATTAGATCTCTTGATCAGTAAGTAGCATGGACTTTATTAACTATTAAATACTTTTTATTTTATCTGCCTCATCGTAGCTGTTCCCTCCTTCTCCCCACACCCACACTAGAGATATAGGTTATTAATACTCTCTTTTGGGGAGCCAGATTAACATGAATAGTTCTTTTATTCTGTGTGACATTTTGGAGTTTAAATTTTTTTAAACTTTATTTATTTATTTGACAGAGATCACAAGTAGGCAAGAGAGAGAGCGGGAAGCAGAATCCCTGCCGAGCAAGAGAGCCTGATGTACGGCTTGATCCCAGGACCCTGAGATCATGACCTGAGCTGAAGGCAGAGGCTTAACCCACTGAGCCACCCAGGCAACCCTTAAATGTTATTTTTATTTATTTTTTTTAATAAAGGTTTTATATATTTTTTAAGTAATTGCTACACCCACCATGGAGCTTGAACTCAACAACCCTGAGATCAAGCGTTGCACACTCCACCGACTGAGCAGGCACTCCTGAGCTTAAATTTTAAAAGAAACTCTGCCCTTCCATGTTTTTATATGCTTTTAAATATTTTAAATTCAAGACCACTGTTGGTTCTCTTGCCTTTCAGCGATGTCTTGGCGTTGCCCATTTTTAAACAAGAAGATTCCAGCCTTCCACTGGACGGTGAAACTAAACACCCACCCTTTCAGTATGTGATGTGCGCTGCCACCTCGCCCGCGGTAAAACTGCACGACGAGACTCTCACGTACTTGAACCAAGGTGAGTATGGCTGCGTCATGCTCTGAACGAAGGACGGACACACAGCTCGAGCGTTTGGGCTTTACAACCGAATTTACAAGTAGTAATTTAAAATTAGATGATTTTTCTTAAATTTGACAACTTTAGTTAACAAAAACCATAGTAATTTACTGTTAGCCAGCAGAGTTGTAGTTCATGGAACCTGATATGCACAAAGAGGGCCCTTGCAATAAGATTTTTTACAGGGTTTTTCAGGCGAAATCCAAAGGAGAAGCAAGTAGGAAAGGATGTCAGTTATTTTTAAGAATGCTGGTTTCAGTATGGAACTTGAGAATGAATCAAGGAGCCTGGGTCTCAGGCCTGAAGCAGGTTTGTGCTGAAAATAGACAAGCTGCACCAAGATGGAGTCTGTGGCTAAAATAAGCCATGTCCGATTTTGTCTACTCATATCTTGTCCGCACTTTATGAGAATATGAAGTTTTGCTGATAGGAAAGTGAGAGCTGGCAGAGTGGAAAATAGAGATGTGGGGGTAGAATTTACTCTTGGAAATTATAAGGTATTTTTTTTGAGGTTCTCTTAGCAGTTTGGGCATAGGCCAGTGTGACTAACCAAATTAAACAAAAGTACTTTGTTACATAGCTATGAATTTGTTGGATACATTGAAAGCATGTTGCACCCTTTTTTTTTTTTTTTTAAAGATTTTATTTATTTATTTGACAGAGAGAGATCACAAGTAGACAGAGAGGCAGGCAGAGAGAGGGAGGGAAGCAGGCTCCCTGCTGAGCAGAGAGCCCGATGCGGGACTTGATCCCAGGACCCTGAGACCATGACCTGAGCCGAAGGCAGCGGCTTAAACCACTGAGCCACCCAGGCGCCCCTGCACCCTTATTTTTAAACAAAATCAGAACTTTTATTCTTATAAAAATAGTACATCCTCTCACTGTAGAAAGATTTAGGAAATATGTCAAGACATAAAGCTGGAAATTAACTGCTCTCACCAAGATAAAGTGGTTTACCTTATAGGTATATTTTCTTATATGTACATCTGCTTTATTTCAACGAAATTGGAGTTAATATCTGTTCACTTAAGAACATATTACTATTTTTCTGTCATTAAATAGAATCTTAGATTCTTTGAATGTTTGGACAGAGCTCTGGGTTTTGGACTGATGATTAGCATTCTGAAATGTGGAAGAATAACTTTAGCTTTTTATTCGATATATAAATGCAGGATCTATGAAGTTTTACCCCAGGTTATTCTACCATAGCACTTGTACAGTACCCTAACTCTGTTGTTAACATTGTTTGGGTAGTCATTCTGTTGTTTGAGACTTACATGTCTTTTTTTTTTTTTTTTTTTTTTTTTTTAAAGAGAGAGCATGAGAGGAGGGGGAGAAGTGGACTTCCCTCTGAGCAGGAAGCCCAGTGTGGGACTCCATCCTAGGACCCTGGGATCATGACCTGAGCTAAAGGCAGATGCTTAACCGACTGAGCCACCTAGGCATCCCTTAAGTGTCCTATTTGAAAGGCCCTTCATTGGGTTTTTCCCTTTCTTTCTGCCCCCACCCCGCTCGAGTCTGCTTCTCTCTCTGCTCTTTATCCCGCTTGTGCTCTCTCTCAAAGAAAATCTTAACAACAAAAAAAAGAAACTACTTTAAGTTTATATGGCAAGATTTATTTTAGATGTAAAAATAATCAGAAGAAACCATGTGGGGGCACGGTTATTCACTGTAGCTTTATTTCTAATGACTAGGAAATAACCTGTATTTCTCTTACTTGGAGAATATTTGAGTAAGAACTGTTATGTGCATATCATGGGATGAATGAGTGTACGTGCGTGCACACACACACACCCTTGTTTAAGGGAATGTGTTGGATGTGTCTGTCTGTTGGCCTGGGGAAGTATCCATAATTTATCACTGTTATTACTAAACTGGAAAAAGATCTCTCATGTTGATAAAAATTGCAATTCCCCATCTGTAGTAATGATATATTAGATTGACATTCTCTGAGTGCTTACTATGTATTGAGCATTGTACTAAGTACTGTGTTTTTTAATTCCCACAGTAACTCTAGTAGGAGAAGTTTTATTAATCCAATTTAGGGGTACTTGGCTGGCTCAGTGGTTAGAACATGTGACTCTTTTTTTTTTTTTTTTTTTTTTTTTAATCTTTTTCAGAGAGAGCGAGAGTGCATGGTGGGGGGAGAGGGAGAGAAAGAATCCTAAGCAGCCTCCACACCCAGCACAGAGCTCTATGTGGGGCTTGATCTCACCTCCCAGAGATCATGACCTGGGCCAATCAAGAGTTGGATGCTTAACAACAGAGCCACCCAGGCACCCCTGAGGTCCAGTATGTGACTCTTGATCTCAGGGTCATGAGTTCAAGCTTACTTAAAAAAGATCCACTTTCAGATTTAAAAACCAAGCTGAGAGCAGTTGATTAACTTGCTCAGTGTGAATTTGATCAAGCTTAGATTTGAAAACAACTCTTAAGTGTATAAATCAGTGAATTTTTACATGTATTATTCCCTTGAAACTACTGTCTCTGTCCAGTATTTCCAGCACCTTAGCAGGCTCCATTGTATGCCCCTCCCAGATGATACTCCAGCTTGACTCTAACTAGTGTAAGTGCAGGAGATTTTCTTGCACTTGACTCTGCTCACTGCAGTATTTTTTTTTTTTTTTTAAGAGTTTATTTATTGATTTCACAGAGAGGGAGTATGAGTGGCAGCGAGTGGCAAAGGAGAGAGACAGACATAGGATTCAACCCCAGGACCCCAGGACCATGACCTGAGCTAAAGGCAGATGCTCAGCCAGTTGAGCCACCTAGGCATCCTTGCTCACTGCAGTATTAATGATGTACCTTCTCTTGGTTGTAGAATTTATCTTTTAAGTTCTTTGTCTTTTAAGAAAAAAGTGGAAAAGTGAACTGCATATGTGCCTGGGTAGCTCAGACAGTTAAGTGACTGCCTTTGGCTCAGGTCATGATCTCGGTCCTGGGATTGAGCCCTGCATTGGGCTCTCTGCTCAGTGAGGAGCCTGCTTCCCGCTCCTCAACCCCCTGCTGCCTGCCTCACTGCCTATGTGTGATCACTCTCTCTGTCAAAGAAATAAATAAAATCTTAAAAAAAAAATATGGGGCATCTGGGTGGCTCAGTTGGTTGAGTGTCTGCCTTTAGCTCAGGTCATGATCCCAGGGTTCTGGGATTGAATCCCACATTGGGCTCCCTGCTCAGCAGGGAGTCTGCTTCTCCCTCTCCCTCTGCCTCTCCTCCCTGCTTGTGTTCTTTCTCTTGTGTGCTCTCTCTCTCTGTCTCAAATAAATCTTTAAGAAAAAACATGAATAATGGGGTGCCTGGGTGGCTCAGTTGGTTAAGCGTCCAACTCGTGATTCTGGCTCAGGTCATGGTCTCAAGATTGTGAGATCCGGCCCCTCATTGGGCTCCCCACTCAGGGAGGAGTCTGTTTCTCTCTCCCTCTCCCTCTGCTCCTTCCCTTGCTTGAGCACATGCGTGCACTTGCTTTCTCTCTCTCTCTCTAAAATAACTAAAATTGTTATTTAAAAATTACCATTTGGGGGATGCCTGCATGGCTCAGTCAGTTAAATGTCTGCCTTCGGCTCAGGTCATGATCCCAGGGTACTGGGGTCAAGTTCTGCATCAGGCTCCCTGCTCAGGAGGGAGATTTTTTAATTTAAAGATTTTTAAATCTTTAAAAAAAATTTTTTAAATGCCGTTTGAATAACTATTAAAAACACATTAGAGTATTCATAAAGGAATTATTTCATATACCTTTTAAAAGAATTGTAAAAACTTAAATACAATACATGAGTATCAGGTATACATACTACAGTGTGTATAGTTCTTTCACAGATTTGTCTCTTAGCATTTATCACTTGGACAAAAGGTTCTGGATGCATGATTTTTCATGAATCCCCTGAGATTGTTTTCAATTTTTTATATATGTGTATGTTTCTAAGGAGAGGATCCATAGCTCTTTCCAGAGACAGCAAGGTTTGGCTTGGGGTGAGGTGTGGCGGAGTGTCCTTCACCCCATCTCTTTAAAGCTGCGGAAGCAAACCGAGGTCCAGGCTCAGCAAGTACCTTCCGGTGATAGGACTCCCTTTTCAAAGGAAATATTCTCAGTAGTGCATGTGCAGTTTTGACTTTTTCTTTTTCTTTTTTTTTTTTAATAGAAACCTTTCCTGCAAAATAGTGTAAAGAGAATCTGGGTTAGGTATGGACAATAGTAATGAGACTTGATTAATTTTTTTTTTTTTTTTTTTTTTTTTTTTTTAGATTTTATTCATTTATTTGACAGACAGAGATCACAAGCAGGCAGAGAGGCAGGCGGGGGTGGGGGTGGGAAGCAGGCTCCCCGCCAAGCAGAGAGCCCAACGCGGGGCTCTATCCCAGGACCCTGAGATCACGACCCAAGCTGAAGGCAGAGGCTAACCCACTGAGCCACCCAGGTGCCCCGAGACTTGATTGATTTTTATCTGGAATCCAGTAAAACCCCATGAATATTTTTTTCAGCTGGAGTTGACATTGTCATGGAAAGTTCTTGTGAAGTCGTCCTGGCTGACAACATTTTAGTATTGACGATTTGACATAATTTACTGCCTGTGTTTTTAGGAATCAGATTGTCACTCATTTTTAAGTCTCATGAATCCTTTTTTTCTTTCTTTCTTTTAAAGATTTCATTTGTGTATTTGACAGAGAGAGACAGTGAGAGAGGGAACACAAGCAGAGGGAGTGGGAGAGGGAGAAACAGGCTTTTCACTGAGCAGAGAGCCCAGTGCGGGGCTTGATCCCAGGACTCTGGGATCATGACCTAAGCTGAAGGCAGACGCCTAACGACTGAGCCACCCAGGCGCCCCTCGTGAATCCATCTTCTTGAATTCAGATGAATTCTTCGGTTCCACCAAGGAAAATGACTTAACAATGTTGCCTTTTTTTTTTAATATCAAAAAAGGACATAAAAATTCTGTAAGAAGGGATTAGACAGCACGAGTTTATT